AGAGAGAAACGTATGTGGAAAGAGACGAAAAGACTAAGAGAAAATTAAACGCTCAGGATTGTCTGATTGCGGAGTAGGTCCCTGTAAAAATGCAAGATGGCCAGCGTCCCCAAAGTTGTATACGTAATTAATAATAAGATGCGTGGTGTCTTGTCTCTGGTGTAACGTGTGTCGTGTCAATGTGTCGAGAGTATTGTCCGATGTAATGTAATGCAGATACATAGGCACGCACGTGCGCATGCCTACGTGCACGCCTGTTTACTCGCGACTCTGTGTAAAGAGAGACTATATATATATATATATATACATATATATATTTATATATATATATATATATATATACATATTTATATATATAATAGTCACACATATGTATATATGAACGTATATGCGTGTGTGCATAATAATAATAATAATAATAATAATGATAATAATAATAATAATTAAGAATAAGAATATAATAATAATAGTCAATCATATATATAATATATATATATATAATATATCGACCCAAAACCCCTAAGACGGGGGGGAAACATGCAACATAATGTAGTGTATAGCAATAAGAATGTATAATAATATAATAGTATATGTAATAATGAATGGGTGGAGGGGGCGGGGGGGGCTCTCTTTTCATGACGGAGAGATTGTAAGAATGTGTGGAGTGAGGCATGTGGGTACCTCCAGGATCACTGTTTGTGTCTTGTTTGCGCTTCCTCTTCTTAGTTCGGTTGGTATTTGCGCGGGAAGACCAGTCAGGGTACAGCTGCATGTGCAACTGTCTCTCCCGTCGCGCCAACTCATAATACTTGGCCTGTTCCTCTCGCCCTAGCGCGTGCCACTACCGAGAGAGAACCAAACACTTTTTGTAATTGTGCATGAACCGTGTGGACTAAACAATATTTTTAATCAAGACAAAAAAAAGATTCACTAATGCTACTGCCGCCACCCTAATTGCGTATATATGTTGCCTTTGAAAAAAAGTCAGAGTTAGCTCTCGCTCTATCTAGAGAAATTCCTTTTGTTCTCATTCTTGTGTACTTTTTGCTTTCTCTCGTTATCTTTATATATATATATAATATATATCTTTGTCTTTTATTTTTTTTTACTTCTTTTCTCTTTACATATATATATTTTGCTTTTGCTTTTTTTCTGCGATCGTTGCCGCATAGTATTTCAGTATATCACTGGGGTCCCTACTTTCCGTTTAAAGTGCTAGAAGAACAGCCTAGGTTGTCCCCTCCCCCTCGGTCGCACCGCTATTCGTTGTATGGTCGATGTTAAGCAACCTACAGCATACAGGGTGTCTGATAGAGGACACGGCCTCGTGCCTAGCGGGTGGACTTTTCTTGTTCTGTTTTTCTTTTTCCGGAGCACGCGTGCGAACAAGAGAGTGAAAGAGTAGTGTCGGCACGGTCATACACTGAAAAAAACTTCCTTCGAGGACAGAATTCGTACGTAGCTGGGTAGCGCTCTCGCGACCGCTGAAAGATACAATCCTTGGGATAAGTGTTACATCGATGCACACCACAGTGTCGGCGAAAGTGCTAAAAAAAGCAGCAACGAAGCGCAAGAGTTGTGCGCGGGTTCGCTCGGTACGAGCGAAGTGACTTTAATCTCACGTTTGATCATAACAAACGTACAATCGAAAGAGATCGGAGACGCGACAGTCTTCTCCTTTAATGCGACTGAAGTTAACGGCTGGCTCAATTACACTTCGCTGTCGTTCAATTTTGCGACCCCCTCGCGCTGACACACACTCTGCAAAGAAGCGTGAGAGACGTTCCCTCCAGTGTATTCCCGTTCGCCACCTGCCCCAATTCCTCCACGCTGAGAGTCACGCCATCGACTGCAAAGGCAGGTCGCTGCTTGCGAGACCTCGCGACGAAAAGCGTCACTTCCCAAGGGGGGAACACCGCTCGTCTCACCACGGAGGATGTTAACAGGAGAGGCACGGGGGGAGGGGAAGCGGAGGGAGGAGAGATGAATTCCGAAAGAAGCGCGAGACTGTCGGCGCAGTTCTCGTTAGATTCGCCGTGAGCACGGGGCTCGTCTTGGGAGGTAAGCGATTGCGAGCAGATGTCGTCCCCGGCGAGGCGAAAGGAAAGAAGAAGAAGAAGGAGGAAAAAAAAACAAGCGGGACAGACCCTGGGCTCTACCAGACATCCCGTACCTAAGGCTTCGGTTTTCACTCTCGCTCTCATTTATCGCATCATCGGTGACGTTACCGTCTCTTCTCATTTCTTTTTGTTCACCCGGAGAACGAATACCGCTTTAGGGAGTTTGGCCAGATAAAAAAAAAGAGAGAGATTGCGTTGCATGCCCGCGAGAGTCCGTTTGGATTTGCTTTCGTCTTTGCTTTTTTCGGTCGACTTTCTTTACTTTTGTGCTTTACGACTCTTTTTGTTTTTTTTTTTGTTTTGGTTGCTCTGCTGCGCCACATTCCACAATCCCCACAGACAATCCAATCCAATTCAGTTCGAAAAAACAAAAAAAATATACATATATGCATATATGTACATATATAAAATATTCAAGAGATATATATGTCGGTAAATATATATAGTCTGCACGTCGAAAAAGAGTGAATGCCAGAAAAACCATAACAAATGGAAAAAACGCAAAAAAAAATATATATCGTACGAAAAAAAAACGAAACGCACAGAGACTTTGATCGTTTCAATCAACCAGTATATAGGTACTAGCAATTATTATAATGAATTATTAAGGGCCTGCTGTTCTAGCACTGGAAAGTGGTACCTCCGGTGGGATCTGCGGAGCGCTCTTTCTTCCTCTTCTTCTTCTTGCTGCCATATCCGTAGTTATCCCTGGCACTCCAGCCGGGGTATCGTTGTTGATGCAGATGGCGCTCCTGCCTGGCCGCCTCATAATACCGCGCCTGCTCCTCCCGGCTTAGCGAGTGCCACTGCGTGTCATACCCCCAAAATTCAGATTCACAGATTCAC